AAAATATATTTTAAAATTTTTTTCTTCTTAAATCAGCAAAATCAACCAATGCAGCCACTTCAGCCAGAACTTCATAAATTTCAGCAGAATCAACCAAAACAGCCGATTTTCGTGCTACCAAACGGCTCGTGATCTCTAAATATCAAAATAATGTGAGCACTATACCTTATTGATCTGACCCTTCGAAGGCACGACCCAGAGCAGATTGAAATACTACATACGTAGTTTGGTTGATGATGCCATTTGAATATTTGAATTTTAAAAGAAAATAATACTACCCCATCCCAATTCATTTAGCCATCTTTGACTTTTCCAGTCAAAGATGATAAACTTTGACCAATTATTTTAACTAATATATTTATGCAAAATTTAATAATTTTATACTTTTATGATAGTATTTTTTATCAAATACAGAGTAACATTTTCACATCATTTTCATATTATCAATGTTTTCTCTATATAAACATATAATCGATCAAAGTTATTGGAATATATTATTCCATACGTAATATATTATTCCATATACACCTTTTATTACATCCCATATCTAGGAGCCAGTGACTTGCCATAGCGGAGGTGTCCATTATGGCAGTACATCATTACTTTTTTTTTTTAAATTATACGGAGTAGTTTTTTTTATTACTCCAGGGGACTAGGGAAGGGGGTCTGGGAGAGGCTGGAGTAATCAGGGCTGAAATTGACTCCATTGAGTTTCAAACCCTTTTGTGCCTAACGGAATTCGAACTCGAGACCTCCCACTTGGCATGATAATCTCGCAACCAGCTAGGCTGGAAAACGACATCACACGATTTATTAATGTTTCCTTCTTTTTTCTTGTATGTACAAGCATATATATTGACAGTAGATCAATCGTATGATGTATGAGACATATAGAATACAGAATGCTCTTCGACTTGTTCTCTTCACGTTCAATACTCTTTATTATTAAGCATTTTAATATGTATCAGAGCCAAATCGATCCATGGTGTGGGGCCCCTTGTGAAAAATGATGACACGATTATAAAAATGGCCGGATGAAGGAAAAAATGGACCGATGAAAAAAAAGAATGATGGCACGATCCAGACAAAGTGTCTGGCCGTGAGGAGGGGTGTGAAATGTCCCACACCGGAAAAGTTTGGATGAACAAAGTGTTATATTAACACATGAGCTACTCCTCCTATCAGGTTGACCTTTAAGGTTGAGGCCAAATGTTTTTCTCAAGCATTCTAGGATCCTCTTTGGCGGGAAGCAATGCAGAAGGAAATTCAAGCACTGGAAGCTAACAAAACTTGGACTCTTGTTGAACTACCTCCTGGAAAAAGGCTCATTGAATCCAAATGGATTTACAAAATCAAATATAAGCCGAATGGGGAAGTTGAACGCTATAAAGCACGGCTTGTAGTAAAGGGGTTCACTCAAATTGAGGGAATTGACTTTCATGAACCCTTTGCTCCGGTTGCCAAGCTAGTGATTGTTCGTTGCATGCTTTTCGTTGCAGCAAAATGCAATTGGAGTGTACATCAACTTGATGTGAATAATGCATTTCTACATGGTGACTTACATGAGGATGTGTACATGCGCATTCCTCAAGGTTTTGCCAATAAAGGTGACACTCGTGTATGCCATCTCCGAAAATCACTCTATGGCTTACGACAAGCTTCGAGAAATTGGTATAAAAAATTCACCGCTTCTCTTACTCGTATTGGGTTTCAACAATCCAGGACAAATCACTCTCTTTTCATCTATCGTCGAAAGGATGTGTACACTACCGCACTTATATATGTTGATGAGACGATGTCTTATTGGGTGGAAACAACATTGAGCACATTACTAAAATCAAACGCCACCTTGATGAGCAATTCACCATCAAGGACCTCGGTGCACTCAGATACTTCTTGGGAATTGAGGTGGCCCGGTCACCTGCTGGTTTCTTCTTGAGTCAACACAAATATGCCTTAGACATACTCGAAGAAAGTGGAATGCAAGGAAGCCGGCCGAGTACTTTTCCTATGGAGCAAAATCTGAAATTACGACTGGATGACAATAGTCCCGTCGTTGATACAGGAAGATACCGAAGACTGGTTGGACGCCTACTCTACCTCACGGTCACACGTCCTGATATCGTGTTCCCTGTCAATTATTTAAGTCAGTTCCTCTCTCGCCCTTGGCAAACGCACATGGATGCAGCTTACAGGGTGTTACGCTACTTGAAAGGCACGCCCGATCTTGGTTTAGTTTTACCTTCCAACAATCATTTTAAATTGGAAGGATATTGCAATGCCGACTAGGCTGGGTGTGTTTTTACACGACGTTCGAGCTCAGGATATTTCATCACCTTAGGCGGAGCCCCCATTTCTTGGAGAATGAAGAAACAAACAGTGGTCTCACGATCGTCCGCGGAGGCAGACAGGGGCGGGTCTAGAAATTTTAACTATTGGGGGCCCCAAGAAAGAAAAATTTGGAAAATTTTGGATAAAGAAATACAAATTAACTTCAAACAATAATATAATCTGGTATTAACAAAATAGAAAATATTGAATTTTATTAATAATGGTTTTGTACTGAGTTTTGTGTTTTTGATAACAATCCATCACAACTTCATTAGCAAATGTATGAAGTATATCTTTTTCGACATAACATACTTCATCCGTTCTCTTTTAATTGCAACAGTCAACATTTCACGTTTACCAATGCACAAGTTTGACCATTAATATCTTTCATTCTTATTAGTAAAAAATTTAAAAAATCAGAATTAGAAGAATTTAATAATATTTTTTAAAGTTTTAATTTATAATACATTAAATAATAAAATATAGTCAAAGTAGAATATGTGAATAGTGTAAAAAGTCCAATGTTACAATTAAAAGAGAACGGCGGCAGTATGAGATAATCATTCAAAACTAGTTGCTAATTTCACATTGTTTCATAGTTTCTTCCTAATATAGTTTTTGCAACTAACGAAATCAATATTTTTAGTCATTCATTAGTAAGAATTAATAATTTTAAAAATTACCTCATTCGTCACCCATATTTTTCCCATTTTAACTTTTTGATATGTCTGACTATGTTTGTCTTATATCATATTTGATACAAGTAATATTTAGTTAGTTTCAATTTATTATTATTTTATTAACATTTTATCAAATCAATATCAATCATATAATTCTATTATTTTTTCTAATAATCGCACAAGGCTACTTCCTCTTGCCCTAATTTTACATTCAACAAAATAAAGTAATAGAAAGTTCTCATAAAGCAAATAAAACTCAAATTCACACAACTAACATGTCAATAAATGTTACGGAACTCAATCGAAACACACAAAGTTAAATTAAAAGGAAATTCTAAAAATGAAACTTTAAAAATCTAATTCACACAATATAATGGCAAATAACTAATTTAAAAAACACATAATGCATATTCACACAATCACACATAATTTACAATACTTAATCTATATCGAGTCTTCTAAAATACAAATTTTAGAGGTTAGATTACAAAAAGATTACAAATTGAAAGGTAACAAAGAGTGTTGACCGTCCCACTTACACATCTCATTATTTGAAGATAGTATTTTAATGGGGGCATTCATTATTTCCATTGGGGGCACCAGTTCATTTATACTCTATATAAACAAATATTAGTATCTAATATACACTAAAAAGAGGGAAGTCACTGGGGGCATGTGCCCCCATTAAACATATAAATATAATGCATCCGCCCCTGGAGGTAGAATATCGCTCAATGGCGGTCGCGGTTAGAGATGGTTACGTTGGCCTCTTCGAGATTTTGGAGTGCACTTAAACACACCAACCCCATTATTTTGTGACAACCAAGCGGCTCGTCAGATTGCTACTAATCATGTCTATCATGAACGTACAAAGCATGTTGAGATGGATTGCTATTTCGTCCGTGAACGTGTCACTAGCGGTGAAATTCATCCTCATTCCATAGCTACTCAACAACAGGTTGCTGATATATTTACCAAAGCGCTGGGCTTGGAACGCTTCTCATCTCTTCGTGGCAAGCTTGGTGTTAGAGACATCCACACTCCAGCTTGAGGGGAAGTATTGGAATATATTATTCCATACGTAATATATTATTCCATATATTATTCCATATACACCTTTTATTACTTCCCATATCTAGGAGCCAGTGACTTGCCATACCAGAGGTGTCCATTATGGCAGTACATCATTCCTTTTATTGTGATATTTTCTTTCCTTCTTTTTTGTATGCACAACTACACAAGCATATATATTGACAGTAGATCAATCGTATGATGTATGAGACATATAGAATACAAAATGCTCTTCCACTTGTTCTCTTTACGTTAAATACTCTTTATTATTAAGCATTTTAATAAAAGTGAGACGTCATTGACTTGAAAGAGGCTGCCCAAGTAATTCTATTACTTCGTACGGAGTATCTTTTATCTTTTGGAGTTAAATTAAACGTAAGTCATTCTAATAATGTCCAATTTATCTTTCGGAGTACTTTTATAATACTTTGGTATTTGACGCATATGTTAGGTGGTGACTTAAGAAATTAAACTACTACATCTACTTTAAATTTGGTTGGTTCATGGTTCAGTGTTCACATGAATCACATAGGAGCATATCTACGTTTTGTTAACCATTAATTTACACATCGGCCTTGTTTGGCAATTGGCTGTCAGCTGTTAGCTGTTAGCTGGTTATGACAGCTGATTGGCAATAACTGGTTGTGTCAGCTGTTTTAGTTGGCTGATCATGTTAGCTTGTTGTAAGTCAATGTTTGGTAAATTAGCTGTTTAAGAATAGCTGTTTGAATGTAAAAAGACATATAAGGACATATGTATTTTAATTGATTTGTAGCTATTGCTTATAACAATAAAATTGCATACATTTACTTAAAGTAAAAATTATTCAAAATTTAGAAATTGATGAATAAACTACATGAAAAATAATTTAAATTAAAACAAACATTTTAATTTAATTTGAATAATACTAGTATGAAATAAAAATAGCTTTAAAATGAGAAAAGACATACAAGGACATTAGTACATATTTATTATTTATTATAACAACCATGTTTATAAATAGAATTACTTATAAAATAAAAATAAGAATAATTCAGCTATTTTAAATTTAAACAATTAACTCAACTCATAATTATTTTCAAAAAAATATCAACTAATAATTGATTAAAAAAACTCAACTCATAAAAACTAAAATTAAAATGAATATAATCATATCTTCGACACCTTGCGTCTCCCTTCTTCCCTCCCCCTTTTGCTTTTCTCCCTTCCCAGTTCCCAATTCTCCTCTCCTTCCTTACTCCTTTTCTTTTGTTTTTTCCCAGGCCAATTCTTATAATTTTCATGGATGCTCTTATGTTCTAAGAGAAAACACTGAAGGGTGCGGTCTCTTCTTCCGTTGGCAACTCCTTCATTATTTCCTTGTTTTGCTTTGCTATCCTCCTCTTGAAGAAGAAATAGGCGGCTATGGTGAATAGAAGCAGGATCTGGAACTTTTTCTAATTGTTGGTGTGATGCCATGGGTTTGCCGCCGACTCTGGTTTGCCTAAGGAAATAGTGATCGTGGTTGATAATCAAAGAATTTGATTTATCGGTGAAAAGAAAATTAGACTATTGATGGAAATAACGATTAAGGGTATAAATGGGTAAAAGGGATCAGCCAAACGAAAACGCTGCCCTCCCCAGCTTTTCCATTTTCGGCTTTTTGAGCTTCACCAGCCGAGGGAAGCATCCGATTGCCAAACTAAATTATTGGCTATTTGATCGGTCAAAGAATCTAAATTTGGTCAAACAAGCTGAAACTTGGCTGATCAGCCATTTCCCAAACATAGCCATCATGACTATAGATAAATAATCTTATTTCATGTAAGAACTAAGAGTGTTCAAAGTAAAAATTACAATGCAGAAAGAGTTCCACAACTAACAAGACACCAAAATAGTACTCCACTATTAAAAAAGACATATTTTCAATAATGCTAGAAGTTAGGGGATAATATGTGGGCTAAACTTGAAGGGAGATCAATAATATTCCCTTTCGAGTTACCCGTGATTATCTCTCACATCGTACTATCCGGTACTTATTACTACAACCGATCCAGATGTCGGGTTCTACAATTAATCAAAAACTGGTATTTCAGAACATAATTAAGGTATGAAACCATACATCTATTATTATCTAAAGAGACAGTTTTTATGGGAATAGTGTTCCCTCCCATTTGTGTCAACATCAAGCTATAGTTGAAGTAATTGTAAAAATGATTTAATTCGTTAGTTGGCATGGTAAAACAAAAAGTAACAATGGGTAAATATAAGTATGCATTTTGGTGGGTCTGACAGATGGGTTCCGGTTGCTTAAAAAATGGTACAAACAGTAAAGGAGGCATGTTCCTGCACTCCTAATGGTCAAAAAATAAATTCGCACTGTTCACAGACAATAAAAGAGATTGTGTGAATCCCGGTTATCCCACCAAGCCTAACCATTTTTGTGGCCTAGATACAGGAGGATGGAGCTACTTTTTTGCTATTGGTTAAAGAGGGCGGTGGGAATAGTCACACATGAGATCCTATTGGCAGGAATGGGTGGGTGAATAGTATCCTTATTGGCAAATCAGTATGTTGTATTCCCATTGATTAAAAAGAAGGTGAGGACTGTTCACTCTAAAAGGAGGTTAGGACTGTTCACTCTAAAATTTGGCTATAAATACCAATTACAAGCATACAGTTCACTCGCCCCAAGCTCATGGAAGCAAATTCTTCACTCAAGCTTTCTATATATGATCAACATAGTGTAGCTTTTAAGTTTTCACCACAGGTTGAAGTTTCTGATGTGCTACCACAAGGAATAACTCATGCTGCAATTTCTGGAACACAAAAATCAATAGGCCACGGTTAAAGATGTCCCAAGGATAGACATAGACATGCGTTTTCTCTATATAAAAAAAGACAAAGACATGTGTTCTCTCTGTGAAGACTATTTGTTTGTAAATTCAGCATTTTAAGTTCAAATCTTAGCTTCTTTTATTGACATGTGTATTAGTTAATGAAATGGCTAGATTTTTTTGTATTATTATGATGTTAGTGGTTCAGAAGTATTTACTACAATGTGTGTATCCTTATATGCTTCAAGATTTAACATGGATGTGATAAAATATAAAGGTTTTAAATAGATGTGATAAAATATAAAGGTCCAAGCAACCTGTAAGTGTTCAATCTTTTAAAATACAGGTATAGAAGTTCTAAAAAATTATTCCTGCTGCTCATTTGTGAGGGTATTAGTGTGTGTAGTGTATTTGTACATTGTGTGTAAAAAATTTCATGTGGTTTTTTGTGGTATTATTCTTCCTGATTGTGTACAGAGCATAACTGGATGTTGCCTCTACTCTATATTACAGGCATATACACGAGAATCTGCAAGCATATTATACTCACCCTTTAAAGTTTTTATAAACATTAGGATCCTCAAAACTGTAATTATTATCATATAGTAATTGATGACGGTAAACAAATAATCAATTAAAGAGTAGTAAGGTATATCTTTGTCTTTTAAAGTTTGTCAATTGCCAATTGCTAACAATTAAAGTGTCTATTTATCAATTGTTTATTTATTCGGTACTTTTGAATTTTTTTTAGATAAATATTCAATGTTTGCTATTGTCTTCAAATTTTGAGGATTTGTGGAGTACTTTGTGGTCACTCAATGGTAAGGTCGGCCATTTTGATCTGGGATGTAAAATTGAAACACCATATATAAATAGTGTATGTTGTAAATTAGAATGCTTACCAAGATCCTCTGGTGTCTTGATTTGTATTGAGCGTGAGCCAGGGTTGGGCGGCATCTTCAATTGACCTCTCATGATGTTGTTCAAGAAGAAATCATTACATATCAAAATATCAAAATACTAACAAGATGAAATCAGTACATGGCATTTAATATCTTATATATAAGAGTAATATTTATCACTCCCTAAATAATTGTAAACTCACCACCTAATTTAATTTTGTTAGATATCAAGATTTTTTTTACTCAGGTAAAATATATACTACGTATTACATAGCTCTACTCTACTATATTATCAAAAAACTTCACTCTAATATACTTCGTGTTTATATAATCTTCAAGTCTTCTTTAAAATTCAGTCTTCAAATATATTAATTCCTATATGCCCTTTTATTGCCTGGCTGAAAAATATTTTACTGAACCACAATCTATATAATAGTTTGTATATGCTTACGCCGATTGTTTATTTAAAATTCAATTTAAAAAAAACGCTTTAAGTGATAAATTGATAATGAAAGCAGCTTTAAAAAAAATCATCCAGTAATCACGGATCTATAGTGTTGTCTTGATTTACTTACCGTGGTCGTGTATATGTGCGGTTTCATAGTTGGTACTAATCTCTTCGTGTATTGTTCAGGAGATTGGAAGGTATTTTGTTGTTGTCTACGAATATTGACGGACCGACTCTTGCTACTCTCGGCCGCATTGTTTGCTGAAGACGGCTTAAATAATTCTGGAAGAGTGCGTGAGGGTTGAGGTGGAGAAGGTTATGGTCGAGTGCAGAGAAAGGGCAGCGATCGAAGCTTCTGGTCTAAGGGACGGTTGAGACTTTCACCTGTCGGTGTACACTAGGGTGGGCATTTAATCAGGGTTGCTGCTCTCGGCCCTATTTTTAGATTATACGGAGTATACGAAGTGTATGGTGGCAAATGGTTCGGGTTAACACTTTTCAAGCTCTTATGAATAATAAGATGGGCTATGAGGAAGTGGCCCAATCATATTTAATACGAGTACGGAGTATATGGTCAGGACTATTTGAGTGGATTTGTCCAAATTTCAGCATGCCCCCCAAATATCATACGAGTAAATATGTAAACAATTTATTGAGCCTTTGCAAGAGCTTCTACTTTTAAAAAAGTGCTTTTTTAATGAAATGGGGAGAAGTGATTTAATAAAAGTTGATAGTGTTTGAGGAAAAAGTGATTTTGAAAAGTAAAAGTGGATAGTGTTTGGTAAAATAAGTGCTTTTTGTGTAATAGAAAAAGTAAAAGCACTATTGACGCGGAAGCCGAGAAAAATTAAAGTTGTAGTGTTTGGAAAAATAAGTGCTTTTTTAAAGTCAAAAGCTGAGAAGTGTTTTTTTAAAAGCAGTTGCAAACCAACCCTGAGTGGATTTGTCCAAATTCTAAGTGCTTTTGCTTAATCATGTGTAATGATTGAGCCTTTTGGTTTAAGTATAAGGAAGAAAATGAGGACTACTACACTTTTGAGCCTTCTGTACTTCTTAATCTATATTTAAAACGATGTTTTTATTTTGTGCATATCTTGATGTTTATGACAAGATGATGTTTTTAGGTAAATGTTATTATCAAATATCATTTCACAAAGAGTAACATAATATGCCAGTAAATTCAGTAATAAACACATATCTGCTAGATCTATGGGTTGTGAATACAGGTCTTTGTATACAAGTCCGATTGGGTTATTTCACGAAAACATTTAATCGGTGAGGTGGTTGTGTGTACTGTGTAGTGTAGGGAGTGCGTTCTTACCGTTTTTATAGTTTAGCGCGGCGTAGGATGCACATTAGGTGGAGGAGGCGGAGGAAGCCTTTCATCGGTTAATTTATGACCGTTGTCTGGATAAGTTGTCGGCGGATGTGTATGGAGTTGGGCTGCGTGAGTGAGTCTCGCCGACCATTGTTCGGCTGTTCTAAGGAAGTGTTTGGGATATGGAGTTGTTGCTGTAGTTGGTAGGAGAGAGGATGACTGAGAGTCACTTTTGGGAAGAAAGAAAGAGTTCCTTCTAGATAGGGCATCTATGGTTTAATAATCAGGCCATATTTTATGGGCCTCAAACTAAAAAATAATGGGCTACTTATTCCAGGCCTGTATATATGTTAAGGATATGTCCAACACACCCAAAAATGGGTTAGTTGGGCCAAAGACTCACTATATGTTTAGGATTCCATCATTTATATAGAGTCAAAGACTCACTATTTTTTGGCTTGGGAATATGATGTAATAAAGCGAAATGATTCACTAAACTGTCTGCACTTTTTTGTTATGAAGTAACAGTCAGTCTATGCAATTTTCGACGCGATTTTCACTACGGGTCATTTGAAAACAATCTCTCTATGCTTTGGTACAGTGGTAAGACTGTGTACATCTGACCTCCCTTACCCCACCATAGGTGGGAGCCTTTGCGGCACTGGGGTGATGATGATGATGATCATTACAATTTGTTATGAAATCTATTTTAAAAGTTTTATTACAAAACACAAATAATTGTAATTTAAACATTTCTGTATCAGGAGAACATATTAACTAGCAAGATGTTGGTGGTAAGATGTTTTCATGGCAAGTCATCCGCACATATATTGTGTCATTATTAAAGATATAAATGATACTAAATTAATTTGTAATGTAAAGACAATTTCTATTTCATTTCCCTTTCATTTAGAGAAAGTGCAACTTCTCTAAAGAATAATGAAGTTAAATAATTTTGAGGTTGAATTTTGTTTTTATGAATTTAGATAATAAAAAAAATTGAAAGATGTAAAAAAGTATTTTGACCATAGTAACTATGCTTAACATGTCACATTTTCATACCTTTATTTTAATCCTCTTTATGTAATCATTTAAAAAAAGTTATATACATATATACCTAAAAAACATTATATGTATAAATACTTATTTGAAGATTTTCTCATAAATTTATATTTAAGTATAGTTTAGGAAAGACATAACACATTTTCACATATCCGCACACCCCCTGATTTGTCAGGTTCTATCAGCAATTCATCTAAATAATGCAATTCGTATAGATAAAGACATAACACATTTTCACATATCTACACACCCCCCTGATTTGCCAGGTTACATCAGCAATTCATCTAAATATGCAATTCGTATAGATAAGGCATAACACATTTCACATATCTGCACACCTCCCTGATTTGCCAGGTTACATCAGCAATTCGTCTAAATAATGCAATTCATATAGATAAGGCATAACACATTATCACATATCTGCACACCCCCTGATTTGCCAGGTTACATGAGCAATTCATCTAAATAATGTAATTTGTAAAGATAAAGACATAACACATTTTCACACATCTGCACACCCCCTGATTTGTCAGGTTACATCAGCAATTTGTCTAAACAATGCAATTCGTATAGATAAGGCATAACACATTTTCACATATGTGCACACCCCCTGATTTGCCAGGTTACATCATCAATTCGGCTAAATAATGCAATTCGTATAGATAAAGACATAACACATTTTCACATATTTGCACACCCCCCGATTTGCCAGGTTACATAAGCAATTCGTCTAAATAATGCAATTCGTATAGATAACACATTTTCACATATCTGCACACCCCCTGATTTGTCAGGTTACATCAGCAATTCGTCTTAATAATGCAATTCGTATAGATAAAGCATAACACATTTTCACATATCTGCACCCCCCTGATTTGCCAGGTTACATCAGCAATTCGTCTAAATAATGCAATTCGTATAGATAAGGCATAACACATTTTCACATATCTACACACCCCCTGATTTGCGAGGTTACATCAGTAATTCGTCTAAATAATGCAATTCGTATAGATAAAGACATAACACATTTTCACATGTCTGCACACGAAGAAGAAGGAACCACTGAACAAGACTCAGAATATTGTATCCAAAAAGTGTTCAACAATGTTTAGGGTTATATGAAATGTATATTTACAATGTTATGGCTTCTAAGTATTTGTTGGATGTTTTTGATCTTTTAAGTAATGTTTAATGCTCTCTTTTTAACTATAATATATATTATAAGTGTGTTTTGTTTATTACTTGAAATTATATCAATATTCCATGAAGATAGATGCTCTCACCCATTGATAGTGTAATTTGAATTAGTTAGCACAAACAATTTTGAAGGAAATTTCTCAGATCGTGCATCGCACGGGTGAGTTTACTAGTAATACTAACAGAAACGCTACACATACATCTGAGCATCTCTTCTAATCTCGATCCGGACCGAACCTATCGTCCATTTATTTGCTGCCAAGTGTCAGAATAGCAGCGGCTTATGAGAAGCCTTCCCAAAAAACCGTGTTTGTTTGTTTGTTTTTTCACATGCACTCTCTCTCTCACTTGCTTGTAACACTGCTATTGGAACATGTGTCTGAATCCACAGGGTGAATTGTCTGACTAGACGTTGTGTCTTGTTGCAATTCAATGCCCACCACCACGTGGTCTTGCGACATTTTTTTGGGCTCCTCCTCCTCGATGACTATAGCAGGCTTTGCTGTTCGGTACACCAGGTACAACAAAATTTGGAGCAATCCCAAGAAGAATCCCAAAATATTTGGCAACTTCATAATTGAAGAAGAAAAAAACACTCACGTTAGTGGACATGTGGAAGGTCATACCCAAAGTTTAAAGTTGTTATTCAAGCTTGGATATTTCTATCATTTCCAATTGAACCAATGATTCATGGTTTTCTGCTTTAGTTATATGATGGAATAAAGAAAAATGTATGACTTCCTAAGTTGTTTGTGTTTATTTGTTATGAAACAACAGTCAAACCATGCAATTTTAGTCGCGGTTTTTATTATGGATCATTCAGAAACAATATTTCTATATTTCAGTACACGGGCAAGATTGAATACATTCGATCTCTCCTTACCCCACGGTAGGTGGGGGACTTTGTTGTACTGAGTTAATGTTATTGTTGTTCTTGTATAATTTCCAAAGATATACTACGTGTACAAATAAAAGAAACTTGTAATTCCCCACAAGATTTTTCCTAGTGAACTTGATTAGCTGTTATAAATGACCTAAGAATTACAACTTGGGTATTTTTGTTATGCGACTAATTTAACAAATTGAATGAATTAAGGAGAATTACAAAAGAGAGCTACTTACCGCAATGCGCAAGTCCTTCATCATTACACCATAACCGAACCACATAATTGCACTCGTCGTGAGGAAGAAAGACAAGTAGAAAGGCAAGAATTCTACACTCTTGGTTCGAATTACTTGAAACTGCATAGATTTAAAAATAAAACAAGTCCGTTATGAGGATGTGTTAAGTTACCTTTTTTAAGTCATTTAAAAAGACAAATAATGTTCTAAATATGAATAAAAACAATGTACAGTTCAAATATATGAGTAATACCGGCCTACATGTTTTTTTTTTGTAGAAATAGGAGTAGCGTGGCATTGTGCAAAAAAAAGGAGTAACGTGGCAAAAGTACAAGACATTAGTAGTAGGCACTATTGAAAGTAAACTTAATTTATGAAATGTTGCATAATGTCATGTTTTGACATTACTCGTGAAAGTATAATTAACATGATTATAGTTATTACTACGCACTCCTTATTATTTAGTGTAAATATAGTAATACTCCCTCCGGTTTTATTTAATTTTTACACTTTGACTTCACACAAAATAAGGAAAGAAATTTGACTTTACTGTAGAGTACACTGTTGAGGCACTGTTTGGCACTGTTGAGATACTGTTTGGCACTGTTGATACACTGTTTGGCACTATTTTGATGTAGATTTCTTTGCCAAAAAAGAAAATAAGGAAGTGTGAAGTTTATTTTAGAACGTCCCAAAAAAGAAAGTGTGAAGTTTATTAAAAACCGGAAGGAGTACTATTTTCAAATTTAATACTATTTTTACTCTAAATTATGAGTATCTTGGAATGTTTGGTAAACCGTAGACCTTATACATTAAGCTAGCTAGCATCACTCTTACCACAACGCTAAGGGGTGCAGCAAAAACCGCCGTAGAAACGGAAACACAAATCCAGCCAACCAAGCTAATCCGAACTTCGCCGGAGAACGAAAACCACGAGACCACAAAAATCAAGGTGAACCCTCCGATGGACACGAACAACTCCGTCAACGTATGCCGCTGCATCCACACATTATTATTAAACACATGATAAGAAAATCAAACAATTACTTGTACAAATTACTAAAAAATATTTCATATATTACAAACTTTAATCTTGAAAATTCAATAGAGGAATATATTTTAGGAAGTTGCTTAATTACCCTGGCTTTCTTTGAGGCGAAGATAAGGAAAAGGAGGACATAAATGGTCTCAATGAGGATTCCCAAAGAATTGATGGAGATGAGAAGGATTGCATTCTTCTTGATATAAGCATAGTATATCCAAAGCAATGAGGAAAAAAGTGCTACAATATATGGCACCGAATGAAACCCCATCGTTGATTTCGCTTTCCATATTCGGATGAATGTTGACCTTCACCATCATTATATACCCATTAATTAATAGTCAAGTAATAATAGTTATAGTGAAAAATAATAGTCTTCTAATATTCGGATTGCATTTTTACTTGGATTGTTTTCAGTTCCAAACCAGATCAAACTTAAACAAATCAGATCAGATTGGACCAGACTTAAATAGATCAAACTTGAGTTTCTTAATTATAAAATTCACAGAGACCAGATGTTTACCATATCAGACCAGACCAAACTTAAACAGATCAGATCAAACCAGACCAACAAATTTCAGCCTAAAAACATCCGCAGAAATCTAGAAAGAAATTAAACGATTGTGATGACCTTAACCCATATATATAACACAATAACACATAAAGAATGTTATGGGGCTCTTTAAATATTTTTTATTACTATCGTATTAGATATTGTTACCAACGATGCAAAATTAACAAGTAATATATTCTTACAGTGGTGCGAGAAATACTAAGAGGGATATGATGTTTCCTGAAACATTAAATACACAAAAAAACGTGTTAGTCGTTGTATTCTCATTTGCTTGTCAAACAGTTAGTCACACTCAATATACTACGACTCGCATACATAGCCTTTAAATTAATAAGTTCATCAACATATAATTAGACATATGTGCAAGGTTAAATTTACCAGTTTATGAATTATGATAGTAATGGTACTTAAATTTGTACCCTCTTAATTTGTAGGAAAAGTCGGCGAATTTTGCATACCAATATGAATAATTTCCAGTATACCGGGAAGAAATAACTACCTTTAGTACTTTCTTGAGTAAAAACTTATACGAAGTATAAAAAAATACTTAGTAGCTTTTTGTTTGTAGTAAAGTCAGCTTAATTCGAGTATTAGCTTTTTTTTCAAAGATATATTCTGATGGTACTTCCCACAAGTCATCAAAACGTTTTGGTCTTCCAAAAAAAACGATTTGGTATTGCTTACTTTTTTTTATCGTTCAACTTATCTCGAGATGCCAGAAAAATTTCATTACTTCTCATACTCATGATACAAGAGACCAAAAACACCAATTTTGGTGGAAATATCAAAATATCTTCACCATTCCCGGCCCTAGTGTAACAAATTAATAAATTAAAACTGATTTTTATTGTAACAAAAAATTAATGTTCTAATGATGTACGTATATAATCTGTATGCAAGCTGGTTTGCCAATCGTGTACTCACACATCAATAACATCTGGAGGTTTTTTCAACATTAATTAAGGAAGGAAAAAGACTTGAATTAGTTGAAAATTGAAAAACTTACCTAAGACTCCAAACACAAAGAGCCATGGGCGGTGATGATCCAGAATAGCCATGTCTTGGAGTTAAATGGAAAAGTATATGTAGAAGGAGCACGTAATCTTTAAATGATTATGCTCCAGCATTGGCAGCATAGCTAGTATTTATAGTGTATGGGTGGGCTGCCTCTAAAACTTGATCAATTTAAATTTTGTTGACACTTATGATAAACTTTGGACAACGATTTTAAAGTGATTATAAACTTTAAACATTATTTAAAGTAGTTTTGATAAAGAACGATTTCATATAATTTTTATATTTTAGGTAATATCATTCTAAAAATGTTATTGGTCAAACTTGACCATCATTGCTTAAAAAAATCAATATGACCAAGGTTTATAGAACGATGAAGTATTATTAAGCAAATTTTCAATAGTACAATTAACAGGGGTTTCCAAAAAATAGAATTAAAATAATACTTCGTATGAAATTTTAGAATGGGAGCGACATATTTCCCTCTTATGTAGGAATATAAATTGTTGTTATATAAAATAATCATATTTTTTTGTATCAGGTGCAAATGCTATAATAACTTTACAAAGACACTACAAAGAATCATGTTATACTTTGATATTATCAAATATTTTTTTAACTAAAATTATTATGACAACTCTAAAATTATACCATGTATATAATAGATGGTTTTTATGATGAATCATGATATGAAGAGTACTAATTACTTCTATTTGGGAGATTAAATAGTACTGAATTATTTATATGTTGAAATTTCATATGGTTTCTACTCCCATTTCGGCAATTCCTATATGATTAATTTATTTTGCGCTCGATTGTAACATATGGAGTGTTATTCTAATCCACAATATATTATTTCATTTCTTGGAGTTATCTAATTAACAATATTGTCCGTTCAAAAAAAAAAAACAATATTGTAATGTGACAACTGACACGTACTGTAACACATTCAATGATACCATTCGGTACATCAATACTTTTGAAAAACTATTCGACTCATATAGAGGGATTGAGATCCTCTGCCCGACTAGGACCGTGCCTTGCTCAATGGACGGATGAATATGAAGAAGAGCACCTCGAGATACACAAAAAATGGCCCCCGATGATCTCCAACCGTTGACGGTCCTGATCCGACGGTAGCCCTCGGCCAGGCACCCTACCTTGCTGCTAGAGCAAGGCAGAGACCTCAAATCCCATATAGAGTACGTATGAGTCATGAATAAAGTATATGACAACTTTTTCGTTTTTTACTCCATTTATGATGATTGGCTCCACTTTATTAGTTATACGAGTATCACTTGTCCTTCTCAGATACTACAAATATGGCAAGAGTTATTTCAAGCACTTGTAGGCCAATTTGGGTGGAAAGACAGGACAATAGTGTTGTTGAGGTTATTCCTTCTAGATCCAACACGTAAGTCCAAAGATTTCGAATAGAAGTGTGCATGACTATGAGATTCTAGCAAGTAAGATGGGTCAAGAAATGTATGCAATAGTGGACCGAGTATTATTAAGATCTAATAACTCCAACGGCCGTTCGTCTCACGCTCAGGTAGAAGAGCTGAGAATAATAAGCTAGGAGCTATATGAATGCTAGTAAGCTAAGGCGGGTAAGTTGTCAACTCTTTACAATGAAATAAATGCTACTATTTATACTACCAAGGGGCAAGTAGACATGCTGATGTGGAGGGCTACGGATGGCTGAAGCCTCAACCACCAAATCTCCAGCATTAAATGCGCTTCCCGTCAAGATCTCTGTTTCCCGCCCATTCATGGAGACGAGCGTCCTCTTGAACTTAGGATTTGCCCTTGGGGTTGCGGGCCGTACGTCTTCTGGCCCTTGTGTAAAAGTGTGTGGGCTAGCCTTGGGCTTTATCTCCTGCGGCTCTGGGCAAGGTGTGGTGACGTTCGTCGTATGTGCCTTGGGCTTGGAGGTGTAACTGCTACGTTCGTGGACACGTTCGTCCCTGCCTATTGCTTTTGTTAGGCTTGATGTCCGTCCGCCAAGGGGTTATATGGGTCAATCCTCTAATTGGGCCATTAATCCAACAAGTGTGATAGAATGAAAGATAAATTTCAAAAAATTAATTGAAATAATGTAATGTTTTCAAAATTACTCCCTCCGTTCTCTAATACTTGTCCCTCTTTCCATTTTGGGATGTTCTCTATTAATTGTCTCCCTTCCCATTTTTGGTAAGTTTTTTCAACAAATATACTCATTTACCCTCATTCTCTTTCCTACTTTTTCATTCTCTTTCCTACTTTTTCATTTAAACACAACCCACTACACCTTTTTCACTACCCCTATTATATTTCTCTTAAAACTTGTGCCAAACCCTATAGGGCCATCTAATAGAGAACGGAGGGAGTATGAAAGACAGTATAATGGCATATTTCATGCTTTTACTATAAACATATCGTCATAAAACCAGCTCAGTAAGAAATCATATTAACAATACGCTATGGCTATACGACCTAGTTTTACTCGTATATTATCCAATCTTTTTACCTAGTAGGCGGGAGTAAGATTGGACTTATTTCACTATCAGACCAGATCAGATTTAAATAAATTAGATTAGATTAGATTTCTGTTGTTATAAAATACACATTGACCAAATATTTATTTATCAGATCACATCATATTTGTTAAATGTCCCACAACGCAAAAGTTTGGATGAACAAAGTGTTATATTAACACATGTGTTACTCCTACTATCAGGTTAACCTTTTAGAATGGAACCTCAAGTCTTACATGGTATCATAGCCAAATCGATCCATGGTATGGGCCCGGCTCTTATATGAAAAATAATGACACGATTATAAAACGGCCGAATGAAAAAAACGGACTGATGAAAAAAATGAATGATGGCACGATCCAGAAGAAGTGTCTGGTCGTGAGGAGGGGTGTTAAATGTCCCACACCGGAAAAGTTTGGATGAACGGCCGAATGAAAAAAAACGGACCGATGAAAAAAAATGAATGATGGCACGATCCAGACGAAGTGTCTGGTCGTGAGGAGGGGTGTTAAATGTCCTACACCGGAAAAGTTTGGATGAACAAAATGCTATATTAACACATGGGCTACTATACTCCTCCTATCAGGTTGACCTTTTAGGATGAAACTCCAAGTCTTAATAATTTTTAAACAAACTAGATCGAACCAGATCAAATGAGTCTAATTGAAAATATTCTAAAAAGTGAATATGTAGTATTTGAGAATAAATTACACGCTTGATTTTAATGATTGTCCCCCTTAACTTTTAGTTTTCAAAATTGATATACATTGTTACATAATGTAATATTATCGTACTTAATAGGAGATTTAAAAGGTGAAACATCTAAAATAATTTATCATTACTTGCATTGTACAAATAAAAATAGAACAACTCATTGGTTTGAGCCTTAGGATACTTATTATATAAAAATTCATAGCTATGTTACCCTATGTAATGTTTAATTATCTTTATTAGTTAATAATTAGCACTTGATTTTGTAAAATAATAAAATAATAAAACAATATTAAATACCAGACAAACTAGTTAAAAAGTTTTTGGATAATGTAAAGTGAATCGAATTTTTGTGTGACATTAAATTAGACAATTAAATTACTTTTTATTTTATAAGAAAACTATTGCATATGTAATCAAATTTAACCTATTTTAGCATTAATACAAATATAATTTGCACCATCTATATGAATTAGCAACATAATATATATTATTTGAAAAGTAAATACTCTCATTTCTTGCATACTATTGTAATATTAAGAAAACTTCTCGTGACTAATGAACACCCTTTGATTGACAAAAAGTGTAACTCAAAAACCAATATGTTATTCTGATATGATTTATGCGGTTCAACAAGGCATAAGTTATTTAAATAGTATCGATGGATGTGTACCTTTTAAACTCTTTATCCTCAAATAATTTGATAAAATTGTCTATATCCGTTTTTATTTTCAAATATTTTTTCTTTGATTTGTCTTTTCTTAAGCTCTAATGTACCAATACTTTTTTCTAAAGAACTTCAATTATAAAATTAAACTTAGTTTTTCCATTTGTGTAAACTTAGAAAGTAATAGATTTAATTGACGTGTATGTACTGATGGATTTTTTTTTTAAATAAAAATAGCCGCACGCAGAGCCTTACACTAGTAAAAAAATATTCTTCCCACAATCCTAACAAAAACTATTATCCCACTACGCTAGTGAATAAAATTTCACTCCGCTTAACGCAAAATCCTGAATCCGTCTTTGATGAAAATATTTATCAATCCTAATTACTCGAGTAAGTAGATGCATGACAATTGAGTCTAATCTATGCTCTCTCATCTCTGTAGAGAGAGGAACCCTAGCAGTCGTCTCCTCTCTTTGTAGGGGTTGAGATTTTCCGCCGCCCCTATCAATATGGGGTTGGAGCGGCAGATTATACTGAGTTTAATTGTTCTAACGTTTGGGATTGCAACTACGTCTAAGAAGATAATGTTGGTGGATGAACGAGGTGCGGCTGAGAGGTTGAATCGAGACTGGATCGTGAAGCCTTGGTCGGCCATTCCGCGGGTGGAGTTGGTATTCACCCATATTGCAAGAGTTCGTCCTACTCCGGAACCACCTCCATACCAGGAAGAGCTCTCTGACAATATTTTATTTCAATATTATTTTCTCTTTTATAGCACTTGTTCCCGTTTTAGTCTGAGTAGATTTGGTTTGAATGTTCGGATTTTTGGAGTTTTTTGATAGGCAGGGTTTCGGTTCCGATCGTTTTAGGCCTAAATTTGCCCGTTTCAGATTTAGCGAGTCATGTTGCTTTGTATGAGGTGGCTGATTCTAAGTCTACTCCTAGGGTTCAAGATTGGATCTGGAAATCTTGTTTGAAGATTGTCTTGTAATGGTTGCTGTTTGATGATAAAAAAAAGGTAGATGCATGACAGTTGAGCTTAAAATAGTTCTGTATGTTCACTTGTTAGTTAGATGACATCAATGTATATTGAAACTTATAAGGAATACTAGTTTTTTATCCGCGCGTTGCGCGATTAAATAAAATGCCCAATGATTTTTTCAACAAAATTATGTGTATTATATGTTGCTTTGATTTGATTTGATT